AGAAATAGTGTTACACCATATCTGACCTCCCATTCCCTTTAGATCTCATTCCAAATCCTATGATTCCTATGATTCCGATCACCAATTCTTCCTTAAGACCAGACACTGTCGTCACTTAAACTGATCCTAACAAACAATCCCACACTTTAAATGATACTTTTGCAAAAAGTATCTGTTTGTAATAATTGTTATAAAATTTGTTACACTAATAACATACACAGTGAATGATACATATAAAACATGTAGTTTAATATTTATATAAAATTAATAATTTTGTTAAATAACAGAAATTACTAGAAATTTGTTAACATATGCTCTTAAATTCAATTCAATTTAATCATAAAATCTTTCTCTTAAAATGTTTTTTCGTTGAAAAATAAAGTCCAAAATATAATCACTTTTACAAATTGTATTGAAGTTTATTGAATAAAATAAAAACAATTAAAAATTATTCTTACATTTATTTCAATAACATTTATTCTTTATGAAGAAACTAATCGTCACTATAAACACTTTAAATATAATAAAAATAAGTTCAAATAATAATGTGTTTATAATATGTAATTTGAAATTAACTTTTGATTTGTTGAGAAATATAATTTAAAAGCATCTAATAATCTAAGAATTTAATAAATATAACAATTAAAAAGTTTGAAAGAAATTAAGTTTGAAATTCAAGATAAAAAATCATTTGTTGTAATAAGTAAAAACCGCCGGGAAATAATTGTAATGATTAGGATTTAAATGTAATAAAAATAAATGCAAATTATAATCATTGTTTATGATATGTAATTTGAAATTAACCATTGATTTGTTGAGAAATATAATTTAAAAATCATCTAATAATCTAACTAGTAGATAATCTAAAGTTTTAGTAAGAGTTTTATAAATATAACAATTAAAAGCTTTAAAAGAGAATAAAAGTTTGAAATTTAAGATAAAAAATCATTTGTCGTAATTGTAATAATTAATAATTAAGATTTAAATGAAATAAATGATAAAATATTTGGCATTTGAGTGTTAATTAACAAAAAGTCTGACTCTTATCAGCTCTTATGTAATGGAAGAACGGGTCGTATAGGGCTGTAGTCATTGAAGTCATCGGTAGCGGTGATATCGGAGACATAAATTTCTTAAATGGACTCATCATTGAGTCATACGATTGAGTCGGCGATGGAAGTGATGGAAGCGATGGGAGAGACGGCAATGAAGGAGTGGACGGCGATTGGATTTGAAACATTGTGCTCATGAATTTACTTTGGTTGAGGTTTGGGTCAAATTTAGTCGAGTTTCTCAACTGATAGGCCTGAAACACCTTATCGTGAATGGCCTCCTTTGCCGCCAACACATTCACCTGTTGGACAAAATCAATAGACAAATAATCAATTAATAAATTAACAATAAAGTGAGGCAAAGAAAAACGCAACAAAAATCAGTCAAAAACTTTGCTAATAAAAAGTTTGTCAATAGTGCATAGACGCATAGAAACAACACATGAAACCGGATATAAAGTTTATATGGAAAAGTGTGTATTACTCGAGCGCCGGTGACTTCAAAAGCGGCGGCCGCGGCGTCGCCTTTGGGTGTATTGATGCGAGTGTTGGTCTGCTCTTTGATGCGCATAATGACTGATCCATTGCGGCCGACGACAACCCCCACATACTGTTGGGGCACTTCCACCAAAATGGTCACCTCTCCGACCGCACAAGTGTTGGATCGACTCTCCATCAGTTGAGTGAAGTGTTGCGATGCCTTCTCAATGGCATAGACAGCCATCTGAACGTTTTCGGGCTGACCCGTCACCACAAACACCGGATCGTCTCCTCTGTACGGAGTCTTTATGCAGGTATTCGTCTCATTCCTCAAGTATTTTATCTTTGAGCCGCATTTGCCTTTCAATTACAAACAAATGCATATATTTTTTAAAATATATTAAAACGACTAAATAAAAGCTATACGTCTATACTACTGTATAGACTCAATAGTTATTGTTTTTTAGTGTTGTTTTTCAAGTAAATGAAAGTAAGTTTTTTTTTGTTGAAGTATTATCTGAAAGATTGAGACCTAATGGCGAGAAAATAGCGGAAGAAGAGTAATGGCGATGACTTACCGACAATTTGAGCGACATGTTCGCTGGTGGGGACCTGGATCATTTGGGTCACCTGAGACTTATCCATATTAGGCGCCGATTGGATGGCTGTTAAGGCAGAGACCAAGTCTGCGATCTCTATGAACCCCTTGTTGTGAGTGTCGGTGTTAGACATCACTCACACGCGCGACAAACACTGCTTTTGAAACAAACGCTTCAAATACTTAATTAAATTTTAGTGAGAAATAACTGATTTGAACACTCTTTTGGCTAAAGTAACAAATAATTGTATTATTTTATTTTTAAAGAGTTTGCAATTCATAAATAAGAGACTTATGAATGGTTGAGACGACTCGTTGTAATAACGATTCAATCAAACGCTATCTCTAAAAATGCTTTCAAAAGTGAAAGTAATTTTTTAAAATTCATTCAACTTTTGTTGCATTCAATTTATTGCAATACTTTGTATTAATGTGAATGAATGGTCAGTTTTGCTTTCACTTTGCATACACGTGAACGACACCAATAGGACATTACATTACTATTCAATAGAGTCATCCCTTAATTCAATCAATTCATTCATATTTTTCTCTAAATTAAATTTAAGAATATTTATAATTCAGTTCTTTGGGATTCATTTCATGCAATGTTTTGTTATGCTTTTCAATGAAGATTTTCAAACTATGGATAATATGTCATAATTTATCAAATAATTAATTTAATCATTAAATTATTATAATTAATAATAAGATGGAAAAGACCCCCAAATATATAACAGTATATATGAAATGTGAATACATGTTGTGATTTACACGTGAATTCATATTCATATCCTATTGTGTTCAGCATTTCACTCAAATTTCTATTAATCCCTATATTTTGAACTCATTTATTGAACTCTTATTACAAATGCATTAAATTATTCTATCAATAGTGCACTTTATATTCATATTCATATTCTTTAACTTTTTAACCATGTTTTTTAATTTTCATTCAAAACTTTCCAGTCTTTTCGTTTGCATTTATTGTTGCATTTCTGTAACAATTAATATGCAATTTATGCGACAAATATACTGCATATTATCACTACTATTACATAAAATACAATATTTTCCTCCATATGTACAGTAAAAACAGTGAAATATTAGTCTATGTATTGATTTATTTCCTCATTTAATTTGTTTCTCTGTTTAAATCGATTTTAATAGTAATATAAAGACAGACACATATGTAAAGTATAATTAGTTTTGTAGTCTATAGAAGTTGGGATTCAGAACTATTTTCGTGATTGTAGTCAATACATGTTTGGGACAATTATTGCATATTTCTGGATCATATTATTGTCCTTAACGTGTATTATGTAATGATTACNATATTATTGTCCTTAACGTGTATTATGTAATGATTACGACCAATATATTCATTATAATTCATGTATCCATGCATTCATTCATTGATTTATTGTCTGAATTGATGTTACATTTGTCTGACATTGTGTTTGAATTTTAAATGCATTTTAAATATAATTCAATCGTTTGCAACAATTATATTATTATAATGTATAATAATTATTTTTATTAACTCAAAATATCAGTGAAAATAATGTAATATTTCACTATTAATGACAACAATATTATTAACGTAAGAACAAGTCCTCTGTTTAATAAGTTTTATACAATTGTATAAAACTATTGATTGAATAAATAAATGTTTTATTGATTTTTAGTTTTATGTTTGCGTGAAATGATAGTTAAAATTAATGACAATTTTGCTAATATATTAAACGAGTTGTGTATAAATAATAGCGTCTATTTAAATCCAATTCATGATTGTTTGAAAATAACTAATTATTTGTATAATTAATGTTTAACCAGTGAAATGAATTTGTCATTGAGCCTTTTCCAAACATTACAATTGTCAATCAATTTAATAATGTTAAATGCTCAAATTAATAATTGGCATTAAATAAGTGAATTTAATACATGTACATTGTATATTGAGGCGTTTTTTGGATTGTATCAAGTTTCATTAGATATTAAAATGTGAATTAATTTTGTGTAATGTGTACATATTATTTTTAAAATTCAATTATACATCACATTAAAACACTTTACACTAAACACCTTAAAGTCTTGGTATTCTTCTCGAAATCATTACTGAACAGAATTTCTAATAAACTGAATGTAACCGTCCTATCAGTCATGTGGCCTATTATTGTACAATAACTATATTTATACAAATGATTTTTGATACAAATGTATGAGAGAGACGTCGGGCTCCACATGAATGATAGGACAGTAAATTTTATGCAACTTTTCCTAATAGTTAACAAATTTGTGCGATTTCTTTAAAATGTGTT